AAATCCTAAATAATCATTTCAACAAAATCAAAGAGATCTCCACCACAGTTTGTTAGAGAGATAGGGAAAGCATTAGTCATTCTTGCTGCCTAAGCCTTGGATGGAACTTCACAAGATAATGCCCCATTATTCAAGAGTGCTGAACAATGCCTGTAACAATAGAACAAAGCGAGAGAAAATTTAACACTGCCCTTGAAAAGGGTTCAGGCCCCCAAGTCTGGATTTATTCATAATAGCGAACCAAGTATTCATACATAAGCTAAATTATGACTCAACTGGCATCACAGCACGTGGTGGGCTAAAGCTCATGACTGGAATATTGGCATAGAGGGGCATAGCTTGCTCAGAAAGGACAAGCAGATGATGTGTATCAAGAATATATACACTTGTTCTGAAAGGTGAGAGGAAGACCAGCTGAAAGTCTCTAGATAAAGATAGAGCAAAAACAATAGAGATGACATCATGGTAGGGGGTTTACTGTAGACCTCTAAACCAGGCAGAGGATGTGGAAATTCTGGAACAAACAAACAAATACCCAATCATCCCTGCTAGTAATGGGCACTGTAACTACCCAGGCATCTGCTGGAAAAGTAATGTGGCAAAACTTGTTACAAGTCCATCACAGCTTCAGCTCAGAACTAGCGCATGGTGTTATGGGGCCTCAGTAGGCCCAGTCCTTCCAACCCTTCCCTAAGGACTGGGGCCCTCCATGGCCAGGGGTCCTGTCTCTTTCCTGGATCAAGAGGAAGTCCCTGTGTCTGTTTAAAACCAGGCTATTTATCCAAAACATCCGGGTCCATGGAGAATCCAGTTTGAATATATGCAAACCTCTGCGGGGGGTGGGGTGGGGTGGGGTGGGGGTGGCTTCAAAGGAATACTGGAAGCCTGTTAACATCCCCCTCCTCCTAAAGGCCACAATAACACATACCCAAATGCATTTTTAATGCAATGAACCCCAAAAGTATTAGCCCTAATTCAATAAAGTATCTTAATTCCAAAAGGTTTAGGGTGACCAGACAGCAAATGTTAAAAATTGGGACAGGGGATGAGGGGTAATAGGAGCCTATATAAGAAAAAGACCCAAAAATCGGGACTGTCCCTAAACTCTCTTGCTTTGGCAATGATTCTACAAGCAATCTAAATAACTAAATAAATAATCCCGCAATGCTGAGTGAAGCTCTGAGTTGGGAAATGGTCTATACCATAATATCATAGCCAGTGAGCCATTAAAAAGGCAACTTAAAAATCATATAATAAAACCAGTCCCTAAGTTGTTACCAAAAGCATCTGAAATTTTAGCAACAAAGGGTCAGGGTCCCGTGTCCCTTCCCCTGGTGTAAATGCCACTGGCATGATAAATTAGTGAGAGAGCGACAACAGAATAAAAAAAAATCAAATGTCTTTTTCACGAGCGATATCTATTTTCATTCCCCACGGCGAGGATGTTTGCTCACTTTCACTTTCTGCTTCTAGTCAGTTTTACTTCCAGGTTCTCATAACCTCGCATAATTTGTGTAGGTCACACTGCTGGGGAAACAGAGTTCCTAGTCATTGGGGACTGAGTCAGCTCTCAGTTATGCTGGTATAATTGAGGTTGTTAAGGGAAATGCCAAAGGAGAGGAGCCATTTTGTGGAGTATCATTTAAAAAAAAAAATTAACGTGTGGTGACTGAATTGTAAGCTAGCGCTATAAGAAAGGTATTTTGCTCCTGCATGTGAATAGAAATGTCTTCCATCATTGACTTCTCCTTTCTTTTCTGCTGGCTTCCCCTCCCCTGAAGCTGCCTCCAAGTATTACTGCTGCTGTGACCGTTTTGGACTCTGCTGGTACAATGTATGAATTCTGTGCGAGGTAGGGTTGCCAGGTGTCTGGTTTTCAACCGGAAAGTCTGGTCAAAAGGGAACCTCTGCAGTATATCTGACCAGACACCAAAAGTCCAGTTACATGGGCCGGTGGAGGCACCGGGTCATCATCCCGCACCAGGCCCTGCTCAGCCAGGGCCACCTTCTACCTGCAGCTCCTGGGCAGGCAGACTCCATGTTGGGGCTGCAATTCGTGCCCCAGCGCTGGAGAAGAAGGAGCCCAGCTTGGGGTGGGGATGGGGGGGGTGGAGGGGATCGAGTGACAAGGAAGGGGGAGCGGGGAGAAGAGGGAGTGATGGGGGAGGAGTGAGTGGGGGGCGGGGCCTGAGGAAAAGGTGAAATAGGGGGAGGGCCTTGGAGGGAAGAGGTGGAGCAGGGGGCAAGGGGAGGTTCCCTCCTAGTGAAATAGTATCCTAGACCTCCCCCACTGCAACTTGAGGTAATAGTCTGAAAGTTGGTGCTCAGGAAAATGTGCCACTGATACCAAGAGAAGAAAGAGTGTTGCAGCCTACAGAGACCCACGGAAGCTTAAAACACGCGAGGATCCAGAGGCTTGGATTCCCTTCACAGCAAGCTGTTGGGTGGCTGGCGGGGATCCATGACAGTGGCGTGGTGATGTAGCCTGCCTTAGTGTGAGGCTATCATTTGGCCCATATTGAATCTTTTCTTAAGTGAATGTATTATTATGCTTTGTGCAGAGGGGAACAATTCGCAATGACTAGAAAAAAGTGAACAAAACTTGATAACGGAAGATGCAGTAGGCAGGACCTGTATTGTGCACCTGCTTCCCGGTGATACAGCAGGAACCTAGAATAAAGAAGAGAGCGACAGCGATTTGAGCCAAAGTAGCATCCCTTCCTGTGCCCAGCCATTATTAGGATGTGTATTTATTGCAGCCACTAAGGGCCATAGTTCCAAAACAGCCCTGCTCCAAGTTAGGCACCAGCATAAGTGGGCAGGTTTTCAGAAGAGCTCAGTGTGCCAGGCACGCATTGGGTGCTAGGGATTTTAGAAAATGTGGTCCTTGTTAGGTGCCTAAATGCGAGCATGAGGTTGTTCTTGTAGGTAGTTTTGAAAATCTGGCCCTTTGGGCTTTTCTTGAGCCATAGGACTGGGACAAGCTTTTCACAAAGGATTAATGGCTGTGGGACAAGTTCTCCAGTTACACCAGTGTGAATTTACAGTAACGGCAGTGAAGTTGCTCCTGATTGACACTGATATGGGTGAGATCAGCATCTGGCCCTTCCGTTCTGGAGGAGCTCCTGTACCATGATCCCAGTTTGAAATCATCTCTTCTCTTGCCTTCTGGAACCTCGTCAGTGCTCTTTCTGAAGGGAAGAGTGTTACTTCGACCCTTTGCTCTATGGACAATATTTGATCTAGTGGTTCATGGATATTCTGACCACGTTATTATCACAATTACTGATTATTGTATAGTGACCAAAATGTGCTCAACACTTATGAGAGGCTAGAAATGGACCAACCTTTGGCTTCTTCTGTCTGGTAAATCCCTTCTCAGATGATCTTGAGAAATATTCTTCTGGGCTGTCAGAAACAGACATTTTTTTAGATGTCAACTCCAGTTTTAAATGTCTCTGGGGTCTCGAATAGGATAGGACTACACACAGGCACATCTCTCAGAAGGGAAGCTATTCTCACTGAGATTTGCAACACGTTCCTGCTGCTCTTTGGATGAAACAATTATCTGCCTCACTTTGTACGCCAACCTCATCAGTATTCACATTGTTAACCGATTGACCCAGAATGCAGAACAACATTAATCATGCAATATGCCACCCTTCAGTCTATACTGTGTGATTGCTTTACCTCCAGATTTGCCTCCCTGGAGACTGGACTCCTGGACCTCTAGTAAGTCTCAATAGACATGTGAGGCCCATTTCAACAGGCAACGGGCCTGATTAACCTTTTCATTATCCCAGGTATGGAATTACTTTGTAAAGCTTCTCTAACCTATGCCAGGGCCGGGACACAACTGAACAGAGACTCAGAGAACTCCCTGATCCCTCCCACTTCTGGTGCTCTTAGTGGATCCCAGCCACAGCAGCGAATTTGCCCCTTAGTTTCTAAGAAAAATCATATTTAACCATACCGGGCCAGGGCCTCTGCTTACCTTGCACCTTGTGCCATCATTTGCATCTATGCAAAGCAGGGGGTAAGAGGACACTGGTGTGAATGGAAAAAGCATTTTGCACTCACTTTGCACAGGTGTAAATGATGAGAAGTTGTGAGGCAGTGGGGACTCAGGCCCATTGCTTTCAAATTCAGCAAAGACATCACTCATCATCCTCATCCTCATCAAATGCAGTAGTAGATTGTGCAAATACTACTAAGCAGCCTGTATTTGAATCCCTGTCTGATTCAAAGGATGTTTTAATAAATTCTCTTTTGGGGGGGAAAGGGGAGGCAGGAAGGGAGGACACAGGCGAGGACACATACTTTAGATTTAGGGTTATAGCAAAAGTTGTTTTTCCAATTCACAACATGGAAATGGTGAGACACTGATGTATGTTCAATGTGTAGTTACAATGGTTGCTTTTTTTCGAAACGCTGAGTTCCAGAGCTGACTTAAACGCTCTCCCAGGGGGCAAGCGGAGAGAATGAATGGACACAAAGGTCATGGGGCACGCTATTAGTAAAGAGCTAGGGATAATTCATGGGGAGGTGAGAAGAGGGACCACAGCATGAGAGATCAGAACAAAAGGCAATTGACTTCCGGTGAGCTCAATACCCACATTTATATATCCAGGAGCTAATTATTGACTGAGCTTTTGCCTCATGAATATTTACAGCACCTTGAGGGACCATGAGTCTTAATATTGACTGAAACTCAGTCAATGTATGTACTGTTATTTTGTGCAGACTACTACCTTGTGCAAGCAGAGTGGTTTTTAAGGGATGACAGCAGGGCTGTGTAGTTAGAGCTCTGCACTGCTGACTCTATGACAAAGCTACACTACTGTTGCATGGTGTGATTTTCAGCTCGAGCAGACATACGCACACTAGCTCTGATTGGGCTAGCATGCTAAAAATAGCAGTTTGGTCGTGGTGGCATGGCCAGCGGCTTGGCCTAGCCAACCAAGTATTACCCCGGCTGAGCTCCTAGGTGCAATCAGAACTCAGATTGTCATGGCCTGGACCTGTAAGAACTGGAAGCACTGTAGAACCACCACTATGCTGATGCCCTTCTGCTGTTCTGTAACAAACAAGGAGCCATGTTGATACAGGTTCAGCGAGACAGAATGAATTCTAAACAAGACCATCAAAATGATTGGGCGGGAGGGGGAACCCGAGAGTTGACCATGACCAGCTAATGCATTTTTAAACATCGCTCACTTTGTCTACATTAAATGCTAAGAAGGGTTTAAAAGCTGGTTAGTTAACTCTTTAGATATTTGCCAAGCACTCTTAATTTTTCTAGTCTAGACAGGATGCAAAGGGCATTCTGGCCCAGCCGTTGTCAGGCAGGGAACTGCACTGTGCTGAGATTAAAAGATTCTCCAATGTTGTGATTAAATTCAATGGGTCAGTTGCTCCTCTCACACCAGTTTTACACCTGCTACACCAGACCTGGCCATTCAGTAATCATGAATCAGGACCCAGAAATAATGAGATTATTTTGAGATTATTAAAAATAATAATACATTTTGGGTTCTTTGTATTTGCCTTCTGGTTTCTGAACCTTTAGGTGGCTTTTGATTCATTCACTCAAGCTTTTCTCTGCAACCCAGAGGCCTACAGGCTTACCTTTTTTTAAAAAAAGGCAAGATGAGAGTCTCACCTACTCATATGTCTCCAGGAGGTGGGACTTTAAGAAGAACACCATATGTCATGAGATTCTCAATAAAATCATGAATTAGCAACACTTGCTTAGAGACCACTTGTAACCATTGCTGGTTGGCATAAGTTAGAGCAAAACTTAGCCTGTTTTAACCTGTTGGGGTTGGGGGCCAGTGCAGATGTGCCATGAGATCCAGATCAAGCTGTAACTGGCTCCTGGATATCTCCTCCCTGCTGTCCTGCACTGAGTGGCTCTCTATATGGAACAGAATCAGGGTTTTACAGACAAAACATCCTCAAATCCAGAAGAGCTTTGTTCAACCCAACAGACTATGCCTCATCCCAGGCATAGCAAACCCATTGGCAGAGATGAAACAGGAAAGAGTGAATCCAGAAACACCAGCCGGGGCCCAGTGGTCCTGAAAAGGTGAGAGAAAAGACAGCAGAGGTGGAGTAATTTCCCTTTTTTTATTATACAGGATTTTATATACAAGGCCACCTTCTTCCCACATATCAGCATCATGGTCAGTTCATAGCAAAAATTGCAGCTCATCTCTCAAAGCCTAGACAACAATGCTACAACGGCTCGGCACAGCACAATGGACAAACAAATGGTACTGGAACTGAAACATGGAAGGAAGAGGAGAAGGAAAAGAAAAGAATGTTCATCCCTTTTAGTCCTCATGATTATTTCCAACGAAGAAATGCAAGTAAAACGTTGTGCTTCAAAAGCCATGCTTATGAGTAGGCCAGGCTCTTTTGGAGAGGGAAGCATGGCCCCATGGCTTGCTTTCCACTCTGTCGCCCTCCTAAACACTCTGTGAGAGGCCTGGGTTTGAGTGCTGGAGCAGAAACCAGGAGGACGCTGGGAAACTGTTCGAGCAGCTCTCTGTGGTTCTGCTTTGTTTCATCCTGTTTCTTGGAGTTTGGTCAAGGAGAAGACTTGGGCGGCACTCAGGGGGGCGAGGGGGGCCTCCAGTTGGTGTGGCAGTGTGGACTGAGTCTCAGCCCCATCAACCTCTGAAGCCAGAGACTAAGAATAGGCCCAATAAAGAGGGAATCTATGACCATGCAACAGCGGAAAAGTGGGGGGTCCTTTTACGAACTTTCCTTTGAAGAAACCACCCATGTCTGCTGCTGACCTTTGTCTTCTGGGCTGTGAGTGGGCTAAGGGCAGTGTGAATTCGGGGTGGGGAGGAAAGCGGATGTTCTAATTCCCTCAGGCCCAGCAAGCCGGACACTAACCCTCACAAGTCTTTTATGCTCAGGCGAGTTACTGCATCCCCCAGCCCCATTGCAATACACAGCGATGTGGAGAGCAGCCTATGGGGTCTGGTGCAGGGACCAGCTCATCCCGCCCACACCACCTCCCAGCCAGACCTTGAAGGTCCAAAAGGGGGCTGGCGTGAGGGATTGTTTGTGACCATGCTGCTATCAGGGATTGAGTCGCCTGCCGAACCATGCGCAGGTGCTGGGCCGGAGGGGAAGAGGTGGCATTGCACCCCTCAGTCTGAACTGTTTGATTGTCCAATAAAAGGGTCTCACGCTAGCCACCTGGGTCCACTTTCACCCCCTTAGTCCACAGTGACTGTTTGCCTGTTTACCCTTTAGTTACGCGTTGTCAGTCGGATGGCTAAGAAACCAGACCTCTGAAGACTAAAGGTGCTTTGTTTCTGCTGCTCTGGCTCACTTATTCTCCTGTCGATGGCTTCCTTCTCTCTCTTCATGCTGACATGCTGGGCCAAGGAGCCCAGCGCGCAACAAGGGGCATGCTACCGATTCCCTTACACTCGGAGGTGACCGTGCATCCAAGGTGGCTCATGGGATGAAAAGGACTCAGAACGAGGTGATCGGTCCGGGGAGGAAAGGTGCCCCTCTGCCCCATTCATGAACATGATCATATGTGTGAAACTACAAATTGTCCAGACCAACATACTCATTTCCCCAATTAACATACACGCCGGCCCCTTCTACCTCAGGAACTAAATTCTTTATTGGATTACGACTAGCTATCTCTTCCTGCCCCTAAGGACAGCTCTACAACGTCCCCGATTCATTTTATAATACAACCTTCATCCCAGAGTGTGGTCAGTGACGGTCATGGAGCATGTGTTTGTCCGCTGCCCAGGCCGGCAGCAGGGCTCTGAGGAGCAGGGATCCACTTGGATGACTGGTTTTCTTTGTTTTTGCTTTACAGATGGGTTGAAGATGTCGGTCCATGTTTCTCCTTTGGAATGCCAGGCAGAGATGACAGCAGCCCTGCATTTTATGCTTGTCCGGCTCAGCATGCCAGTCCAGGATATAACCTCGTGCTCTCCTCACACTGGTGTTCATCGCTGTTCCGAACGTGCTACTAGGAGAGAGAAGGGAGAAAAACAGGAGCATCACTCTCCTTGTGATTTAGGAGATGCATTTAGGGGTCAATCCAGAGCCCAGCTGAGCAGCCAGGCTTGGTGCTGGGAAAATGCACAGGGTTTGTGGGGAGATGCATCTTCCAAAGCAGCTAAAATACATAAGGGGGAAACGTTTCCCCTGAATCCAGCATGCAACCCTTGGAGACTTGAGAGCTGCACTAGCTATACCTGGTTACTGTAGGCTGGCATCCTCCACATCTGTGTAATGGCTGTTCTCCTGGCGGGAGGGAAAAGGCAACGAGAAACAGAAACAGGAAATCAATATTAACCCCTCCTCCTGGGCTGTTCCAGCACAGGGAGTTCAATGATTAGCTCAGACCATGGTGGAAGAGATGGAGGGTGGGGAAGGTGTCAAATCATCCAGGAACATGGATGGAATATATAATGTCGCTGGGGAGCAGCAACAGATAGGGTCCCTAGCATGGATATTCACACACCGCATCGAAAGCATGCAGGGAACATAACAAAAGGCCAAATCCTACAAGTGGTTGCTTGTTGTTTATGGCCTCTCAGTCTCTCCTGTTGAAGCTGTTGCATTCTGAGTAAATAATTAGAGTCATTGGAGCAGGGGGACTGGATCCTGCGGCTCCTACCACCTCGGGGAGGGCTCTAACCACAGATCTCGCTCTCTCGGGGTGGTGGGAGCTTTTGAGGGCGACGCTGTGTTTGTTATGTGCTGTGCACACTAACTTGGCTTCTGTTAGTCTGTGTTTGTTTCTGTTTTGTTATTTGCAGTTTCATTGTTTTAGGGGTGTTGGGTCCCCCCCCCTTCTCTTTGGGCATGGTGGGGGGTTCAGATCAGGTTCAGGGGATCGGCTTCAGATGGGTTTACTTCTTCTCCTATATGTTATGTATGTGGCTAGTATCGTCCATTTTATGCGTCAGCTTTATATGCATGAGCTTTTGCTCAGTGAACTCCTCGCCTGAGGAGATGGATGGTCACGAGAGATGTACCCTCACCTTAGGAGACATGCAGGGGCAACTCCTGCATTGAACATCTTGGGAAGTCTGCAGCAGCGGAGCTCCTCTCCTACACACCTTCTAAGCTGTGCAAAGCCCATTAAAGGCAATGGAAGGGATCCCATAAGTTTCCATGGGCTTTGGATGAGGCCCTATGAAGACGCTCTTCAAAAAATGTGTAGAAGGACAGCTCTTTCAGCTAAAGCTTATTTGTATCTGCAGAGGCATAAGCTGACTGGCTCATAGACTCAGATTTTAAGACCATAGCAGATCATGATGATCATCTACTCTGACTCCTTGCATAACAAAGGCCATAGAACTTCACCCCACATTCTCTATGTAAATGACATATGCAAAAGAGGCTACATGTAAAGTGTGTCAAACAAAGAAGATGCTTATTGTGGTAGAGAACAGAGGCTCCAGTCAGGATCAAGGCCTCATTGTGCAAGGTGCTGTACATGCACAGGAAGATCCAGTCCCTGCACCTCACGAGCCAGGGCCGACTCCAGGCACCAGCCGACCAAGCACGTGCTTGGGGCGGCACCTTGGGGCAGGGCGG